GTGTCAAAGAAAGGGGACAGCACCACCTCCCTTGGAAGCATATTCCATATTTTGGCATTCCTCACTGTAAAGTGTGTTGTTTTTTTTTTTTTTTTTTTTTTTTTTTTTTTTTTTTTTTTTACACTAGAGAAAACCAGGATCCCTGGAGATCACAAGCTGTGAGTAACTTTCTTTTCCATGTCTTGAGGAACAGATTAAATCACTTAATGTCCAAGTCAACACCTTAATTTTTATTCAGTTTCACATAATTAATTGAGAGACAGTCCTGTGCTCTAACTCACCAATAGTCCTGAAATAATCACAGTTGGGTCTAAGGATATATATTTACACCTTTTTGGAAACATCCGATGCACTGCCAAGTATTTCATGCCCATTTTGCCATAGGGTGGGGAGGAAGGTGTTATGCTACTCAATGTACTTTTTCCTTTTAATGGACAAACTATGATATACAGGCAACCCCTGCTTAACAATGTTTCGCTTAGTGTTATTTTGCTATAATACTTGTTTTTCATTGATACCCGATTCCACTTAGGCTCGAAAAGTTTCGTTATAATGCTCACAATTGCCATGTGGTTTGTCAAAAACTTTCAGTTTCGCTTAACGCTCATTTTTTCAAGAACCAATTGGGAGTGCTAAGCGGGGGTTGTGCCTGTACAAGAGAAAAATGAGTCAAAAAGGTCAAATCTGTCTGTGAGAAATCCCAAGCACTATTGGATAAACTAGAGCTGCAAGGAGTAAATCTGTTCCTAATCCTATGTATGAAATACAGATCTTTTTCTTCCTTCCATAGAGAAAATTTGAGACTCCACCAATAAAATATGAAACTGAAGAAGTAATAACTACTGTGGAAGAAATATCTCCATTTCCAAAAGCAAACTGAAACATTTGGATTTCCCAGCTCAGACAATCAAGATACTCTTAAGGAAACTGCAAGATATTTTGTTTAATTTTTAATGGATGGTAGAGCTATACATACATAAAATTACCTAAAACTTTAAAAACTTATTTTCAGTTGCTTCTAATTTTACAGTGAGCACTGGCAGAAAGCCATGGCCATTGCTATGGGAACCTGGCTGCAGGCTCCCAGCCAGCAGCTAGCCCCTCCCAGACCAACAGTGAACTTCTGTTTGGTCTGGGATTATTCTGTAACTCAGAATCCTTTGCAGAAATCAGTCTGAGTTACAGCTGGGAGCTGGACTTGTGTCTGCAACCTTGGAGCAGTTTCAAATGCAGGGGGAGGGGAGGGGCGAGCTGCTGCTGTTTCACTTTTTTCCTTGTACACTAGCTTGTAGCAATGTGGGTGAGCTATATTGCCCAGCTGTAACCCTGGAAGAAACAAATGTAGAGGTTTGGTTACATTTATGCATCTCCAGCAAAACCAAGGAAGTGATTCTTCCACTCTTCTCGGCTTTGGTGAAACCACAGCTGGAGTACTGCATCCAATTCTGGGCACCACACTTCAACATGGATGTGCTAAAGCTTGAGAGAGTCCAGGGAAGGGAGACCCGTATGATCAGGGACTTGCATAGCAAGCCATATGAGGAGAGGCTGAAGGACCCATAACTCTTCAGCCTTAAAAAGAGAAGGCTGAGAGGAGACTTCGTAGCAGCTTACTGCTACATCAGGGGCATACATCAAGAGCTTGGTGAACAACTGTTCACCAGGGCACCCTTGGGAAAACCAGGAGTAATGGTCATAAACTCCTAGAAAAACATTTCAGTCTCAACATTAAGAAAAACTTCTTCATGGTTAGGGTGTCTAGACTGTGGAATTAGTACCCTCCAGGGGTGGTGCAATCACCTACCCTGGAAATCTTCAAGGAAACTGGACAGTCACCTCGCTGGGGTCACCTGGCCCCAGTTGTCTTTCCTGTTTGGTGCAGGGGGCTGGACTTAATGATGGTCTGGGATCCCTTCCAGCCTCACAATCTATGAATCTATTTATATTTTTTCCAGGCTTCTGCACATGCAGCTACAGCTACTGCACGGTCTACAGCAGAGCTGCCCAACTTCTAAGTTGCCAGGGGAAACATGCCATGAAAGCCACATCAGTAAAGGCCACAATTGAGAGCTGTGAGCCCCTGGGCCATACTGGCAACTGCATTGCATATATGAGCAGCCCCCTTGCCCTCTAACCTGGAATTTTGGATCAACATTAGGATGCACCAGGGTTTACAGGCCTCCCATTCTTAAATTTCCCAAAAATATATTTAGGAAATGAAAGCAAGAACTTGGAATCCACAAAGATAATGGATTGAATCTAATGGCTAACTAGGATTCCCATTTTAGGAATTTGTAATGCAGCCATTTTGGGAAAGACAGACAGTGGACTTGGTGGTGTAATGAAACCCTGGAAAATGCACCCATGCAAAATCCCTGTGTTTTTTCTTGAGCATCTTCACAGGATGTGATGTAAAATACAAAGCATAAACAGATGGACATTCCAGAGAGAATGTACACCTCATCATCCCTAACACTGTGTGTATGAAAGTTGGATCAGAGATAAACTCATTAGGTAGTAATATAATACGCTTATAGTTTGTAAAGGATATCAAGGAAAAAAAAGTTCCCTTTGTTAACTGTTAAGAACAATGAACATGCTGTTTGTTGCTGCTACTGCTATTACTGTTACTTTTACAGAATAATTATAGATCACATTCAGAAAAAAAGACTAGCAGTAAGAAATATGGTAGGACAATTAATATGGCATGTTGTAGTACTTTTGTACATAGTAATCTTTATGGTCAGAAAGAGGGAAAGAGGTGTATGACAGAGGAAGAGACAGCCAACAAAGTCTTTCCCCATTTTCCCCAGGCTCCAGAATAGGCAGAGAAACACCGTGATGGCAAGCTCAGGCGTGGCAGTTTAGGAGCAGGTTGAGCCTGCAGATTGAAAAAAAGAGAAGGGCAAGACCTGAGAGTGGAGCGGGCCGGAAGAGAAGCAGGAGAGAGAGCATTGAGCGGGGGAATGTGGGGAGCGAACATGGGCTGGAGCTGGGAAGTCACACAAGCCCTGGGAGGGGAGCCGGGCTGTTTGAGTACCCTGGCAGAGGCACACCGAGGCAAATCCCCAGGAGAGAGTTCCAGAGAGGCATGCCAAATGGGGGGTGATGCAGAGCAAGGCCAGAGCAGGCTGCATCCGGTCAGACAGGTACCCCATGGGGAAGTGTGGGGAAGAGAGCTGAGGAGCACTGCTGAACAAGGTAAGGCAGTAACCTGGCCCCAGGCTGAGAGAGAGACTGTGAGAGGAAGGTAGCTGGCAGGAAGCCAGGAGACCCAGGTGTGGAGAGGCCTCTACAGAGGGGCAGAAGTTTAGGGCCCAGCCAGGACATGAAGCAACCAACAGCACAGAGGCCTAGGGTTGTGGATAAAGGGGCAAAGACAGAATAAGGGCCCCTGGTAAAAGCTACAAGGATGTAGCAAGAAGCTGACAAGCCCACAGAGTACAAAGTGGCGAGGAATACAGCCACAAGTGCATCTCAGTGGAACCTGATCTGATTGTGCTTTATGTTGGGTTTGTTTTGAGTTCTCTTTACAAGAATGTCCTCAGCACAAAGCTGCAGTGAGTCCAGTTATAGGGAGATATGCCTGTAGCCAAAAGACACCCTAAAAGGAACTGCCAGCCAAGGTCTCATCCTTGTAATGGCAGGACATGCAAGTGAGAAGCAACCACCCTTCCAGCCTTGGATGTAGTAACGGTAGGATAAAGAGGAGGTTGGAGCCCCATGAAGAAACCAAAAGGTGTGGGACCTTATAAGCTATCTGCAGGAACCGTCTCCCAAGAAGAACATTAAGTCATGGCAAGCTAGCAGGCACTACCAGAACCTGCAGGTGACACTACTTAGGATCCCACCCTGATGTCACACAGGGTTAGGGCATCAGTTAAGAAGAGAATTATGCCCTACAATACATACCTGTGATAAGGTACAACGGCTTTCTGAACGTTACCCCTATAGCAAAATATATGTTCTATAGATGCTGTGCCCGGCTTAGTACTAAAGATCAGTATTTGTCCTCCTCTTTCACCCCAATTCCAAAACAATCCCTATATGAAATAGAGATGCAGTTTCCCTATACTGGAGTAATAACTTCCAATAACTGTAGAAGTCATAGTCTGAGTCTAACTAGCTGGAATATAAACACACTTAGGTTTTGGTTGTGCAGGAGATACAGAAAAAGTCTTTTAAGTACACTACATACACCTGCAGCGTTCTGGCTAGTAAAAATGTTCCAGATGGTGAAATATAGGATAGAATTGGGGCAAGGGGTAAATAAAAAAAAGTCAGATTCTTATTTATAATTCAATACTAAATAGACCCTATTTCAGAAAATATCTGAAAACAGCATTTTCACTTAATTATCTATATTCTTGTGGGACTGAGAAGAACTTTAGAGCTATATGGTAAAAAACATCCTGAAGGCTTATAACTTTTTAAAAAGCAAACATTTGTGGATGATACAATAAACGTATCAGCTGTATAGCTGGGATAACGTTAGACAAGTTTTCAAAGGAAGTTTTGGATTTGAAAGTTTATCTAGCTTTATCCCATCTATACAGTTGGTCCAATAAAAGATCTGACATTCTGTAGCACATAGGGTCACACATCCCAGGTACCTTTCCTACATGCCAAGATCATTGTTGTTTCACTTCTATTGATTACCTTCTCCCCCCGAGCCTCCCTTTTATTTTTCATGCAATACAAAATCATACACAAATGAACCACGTACAGCTCCTGCCAGGAAGTTTCTGTTGCCCGGTGCTCCCCACCACACTTGCACAACACAGGAAGGAATCTCACAAGCAGTGCTGGATTGTGACAGGCTGAGGCCCTAAATTATGCCCATTTTAAGAGGCCCCGTATGATAAAAATAATCCATCACATTCCTGAAAATGGATTTTCATTAAGTTAAGATGAATTATTATTTCTGCACAAATTTATGAATTCAATATGAGTAGCTATAGAGCCATATATATGCATATTTTTGTCATATTAGAAGGAAAATGTCCAGTTTTTTTTTTTCTTATTTAGAGGCCTCATATTGCAAGGCCCTAAACTGTAGCTTAAGTAGTTTAAGTCTTTATCTGGCACTGCCCGCAGGGGGCAGGAAAGGCAGCCGCCTCCAGAACGAGGCTTCCTCTCCGTGCTGTGCAGGTGCAGCAAGCAGTGTGGGCAAGAGACCGCTTGCAGCCCCCACTGATGTGCAGTGCTGGCCACAGCCACACACCACTGGGCATCAGCACTTGTGCCAGACAAGAGCACCCCTGCTTGCCATTGTAACAGGGTCTTCCCAGCATGTACCTCTTGTAACTTGATATGGAAATGAGGGATTTTGAAATTAAACAGCCCTCACACTGGGAAATCGGGACCCAGCGGGTAGTAAATGTGCAAAGGACAAGTCTAGGGTGCCTTGCCCCTTGCACTGGCATGAGCACTGCTGGGCAATATTTGGGTCACCATGACAACAAGAATCTGGATAGTCTGAGTCTTATATACCAATTGAGCTGAAGCAAGTTATCTATCTGGTTTTCCAAACACATACCCAGCCTCTGGTTGGTTTTGTTACAAATATTCATTAAAAACAGAGACTGTATCAGGAAGCCAAAAATAATTGACCAGAAGTGGAGATTTAGCTTGTAAAGCTAGTGGCAGGCCTCTGGATAATGACAGTAGTCCTGCTTCATGCTCATAGCAGAGAGGTACAGATAGATGGGCAAGTGATAGAACAAGATCCTGAATTCCACTGTGTCAAGCAGTGTATCAGCTGACTCAAGAGTAGTGCCATGACAGATAACACAAAGCAGGTGGAAAAGCTGTCAATCAAAGACTGTACCAAAATACAACTGAGCAAGCTGCAGGATTAGTACCAGAAAACAGTAAAAGAGAGCAGCAGAAATCAGTGGGAAGCCTGCTTCATGCTGTGCACATGCTGGGTCGAGTGAAATAGACTCAGGGGCCCGTTCAAGAACACGCATATAAAGGTCTCAGTCAGAGACTGTCGCACATTGGTACAGAGGACACTGCATGGCTATGGAACACAGCTAAGCTACCACACAATGGTCAAACACAGAACTTGCATTGTCATATCAAATATCTGAAATATGCGATATACAATGTAGAAAGTAGACATGCAGTATGTAATAAAATTAGTAGAAGTAAGAAGTAAAGATAAAATTCCCCTCCCCCCCCCAAAAAAGGCATGATACAGAGAAGATTAGCTAGTCTGTCTTTTTGAGTCCACATTTATGCCTGACCACTGCTGCTCAGCCCAGACGGGCAAGCCCAGTGCTGGTGTGTGGTCAGGGCTGTCGCAGGATGGAGGCTGACAGGTTCAGGGGGCCGACCAGGGGCTCCCATGTACAGCCTACATACCCCACCCCCCACAGTTATACCCCACAAGCACAGCACCCACTGTGAAATCAGTGGAAATGCCAAATGGACCATGCTCACTGGAACTGAAGGTGAAGAAATACCATATGATTAAGTAGTACAGAATTCTGTCTGTATAACCATTGAATTATATGGAAAAAACTGTGTTTTCAGATGGAAATATGCTTACTACACCTGCTGTAAACTTGACAGCCATCAGTTCACAGATAGTTTTATCTTTACACAGCACTCCGAAGGAAAAAAAAAAAAAAGATTCCTCCCAATATACACCACTTACAACCTCAGCAATACTGCTGGAACACTTCTGCCTTCAGTTAGTTTAAATACAGATATAAGGTAGTAAAGCTATTCTCTTCACACAGAAATCCTGTCTCTTGCCACTAGCCGTTATATGTGCTGTACTAAGAGCAGCAGCATAAAAAGCTCTAAACTTCACTGTCCAGATTTTGAATGGGAAAGGGGCCAAAAGCAACCTGTAAATTAAATTTCAATAGCATCTCATCTAAACAACATGTGAAAAAGCTTGTACATCAAGGGTCTTCTGCCCATTTGTTAAATCTCCTACATTGTTCACGCTGCTTTTGCTGTCTTCCCACAAGCGAGCATTAATCTGTGTACAAAGATCTGAAAATTGAGGCCTGATCTCCCTTAAAAAAAGCCAATTTATCAAATCAAACTCCATGCAACTACAGCATACAAGATGATAGATCAATATGGAGATCAAAATACTCTTCTCCCAAAGACTGTTGTCCTAAACCAAATCCCTTTTATAAACACACTGGGCATATCTACATACACAAGTAATGTGGTTGAGTTTACTGCACAATTTGCACTGGAGTAAACTAATCCAAGCACAGCATCTATACATTTAAGTGCACTAATTTACTGTACTGTTGGATACTAGTAGTCGGTGACAGGACTATTGGGCAGTGCAATAAGTTAGGCTACAACAGACCAATTATGGTGCATGTTTAGATAGCGATGCTTTACTGAGCAAATTAGTCTGCTGAGCAGTAAAGCATGCTATGTAGATGCACCTACTGGTTGCTGATCAAGCCCAACCCAGCTTAAGATGCCAGACAATAAGAACACGTGCAAGTAAATAACATTTCCAAGCAGCCATAATGCCTTCTAGTGACCTACTTCCCTAGTCCAGTGTGATTAAAAAAAAACAAACCAAAAAACAAAACAAAACCCAACTTCTATAAAACTAACACTTGTTTTCAAAACTAATACTGCTCTGTATAAAAGTTGTACTGTTCATTGCTCTGTACTTAATGCAGTCATTAATTCTTCCCAAGCATTAAAAGACACTGAGTGGTGGAGGTGGGGGCAGAAGAAAAAAAGACATTAACTTGTAGTTCAAGATGACTGCCTTTGGGATTACCTAGACTGGGACTCCAAATGCCTTGTTGAGATCCTTAGAACAATCATTACATTCCTTCATTATGGGTACATCTACTCATGCACTTTACTGCCATGTAGACCAATTAGCTCCACAGGAAAGCATCGTAGTCCACATGTATGCTGGCACTAGGTTGCAGTAAACTAATTAAAAATCCCTTGTAAGATGGTACTGTTCCCAGTAGTATCTTTCACTGCAGTTAATGACTCCACAGTAACACACATGTACATGTGGCAGTTGGTGGCAAATTGTGCCCAGTCAGCCCTTCCACCATCCAACACCAAGACCTGGAGCTGACCCCCCACGCTCCCTTCTAGTCCAGGGCTGCTTCATCCCAGCTCAAACTGCTGCTGCCCCAGGCGCATCTGTGAGCGCTATGCCTGGGAGCAGCTGACTCCAAGACAAACTGCTCTAGAGTTTATTATGTTGCATTAATAGTATATGTAGATGCACTCTGTGGAAAGCAGTCAAGGACTAGGACTCCTTTGAAAAGCCATAGCCAGCAGTCCAAGACACTCTTATCAAAGATGGAAATTTACAACCATTTAACTGACCCTATTTGTATATGAAAGGGTTCCTTAAAGATCTGGCATGTATCAGGCATAAAAAAACCAACCAACCAACCAACCACCTTATGTAATAGATGTACTGTTTTACAATCCATTGATTTGCCTGGCACAATTACCATGTCAAAGGAGGCATCTTCTCCTATGACTAGCTTGCAAACAATTTCCCAAAGCAGACCAAAACCTTATATAGACTATGGTAAACTTACCATTTTGAGTAAGTATTGTTTATTGTTTCACAGCAAAATGCCCCAATTTAAAAACATAATTCCTAGATGTTCAGCTGTGCAAAATGGTACATAGTGCTCGAGTACAAGTGGAAAGAGACATGATTTGTTAACAAGTACTTCTCAAATACAGTTTTATGGTCATAAGATGGGACTTGAAACTAGAGACCAATCCAAAAACAAAAATTTAGAAACAACAACTGTTGCCTAAATTGCTTGGTCAATCAACCATTTTGGGCCCAGAACTAGTGCTACTGATCCAATCACCAACATGGAAAAATTTGCTAGGCTGAACTGTCAGTTTCAGCGCCTTTACTGAGACAAATCTTGAAGTGGATCAGTTCCTGGAAAATTTCTAGCCCCATCTACAAACATGACCTGGCCCCGATAAATAAGACTCAACACAGGAATTTCTTGGAGGTCAATGGTCCATAATGGTACAACTTTCTACATGATCTGCTAAATTTTGTTTCCAAGTCTAGTTAGGGTCTTTTAAACAAATTTCTTGAATTCATCATACAGCACGAGCACAAAGGCACCCCCCATGCCTCGGAGAACGTTAGACCATGCGCCCTTGAAGAAAGCTTTTCCACCCTCGTCCCGTGCAATCTTCTTCCAACAATCAATTGTTCCTTTGTACATGATGTCAGCTGTAGAAAAACAAAGTATTTTATTTGTTTGCAATTTACATAACTTGGGGCTGGAACAACCCTTATACTTGGTTTCATGCACCATAAAGTTGTTTTCTGTTTAAGCAGAACACATTGATGTAAATGCAAAAGACATGCAAAAGCCCCCCTAAAAACAGTCTGATTTCCCACCTGCTCTTTTGAGATACTTAAATCCATCGTGACCCCACTCCCTTTACAGACTAAAGAATCCTCCCCTTTTGAGTTCAGCTGTCTTGGCTATTGATATTTTTAGCAGATGTGAAGCCAAGTAAAAACACAATAGCCAAATGTCATTTTGGTAATATATTAGATTTATATAGCAGACAGCAAAATAATTTCAGATTACAGGGGAAAACTGAAGTTTACCTCCTTTACGCCCCGACTGCATCATCATTCGACGTCGCACCGTATCGAAAGGATAGGAGACAACACCAGCCACGGCAGTCACCGTTTGTGCAATCATCCAGCTTATCACAATGTGAGTGTTCCTGGGATCCGGGAGCATTCCTGCAATTAAGATGCCACAATATAAATTCTTGTCTTACACCCACTCATAAAACATTAAACAGGTGCTTTCCTAAGAACAGCAACAGTAATGGCATCTTCATCAACTAGAATCAAAACAAAGAGGTAAAGCAACTCATCTGTGAAAATGTTAGACATGCATAAAGTGCAACAACAGAACTGCACTCAGATTGCTTTACAACAGTGAAGAATATTCTGTGTCAGTAGTTCAGATTAAAGGCACAAAGTCCAGAGATAAAATTATCCATCAGAAATGTCTCCTCAAAAGTCAATTGTCCCAGATTTGAAAATGCCTCAATTCTAATATCTTTGAAACTATTTGCAAGTTGATGAAGGAGAATATTCCATTCTTCAAATGCAGCTATTTAACTACCAAATTAGGTCAACAGGAGACTTTATGATGTGAATGTAACTAACTATAACATGTTAATTACTAGGGTCAATTGAATCAAGTTCCCTAAAATTGTTTAAACCCATTTAGAAGTGGGGGAAGGGAATGTTTTGCTTCTGCTAGAAGCAGCTCTTAAATTTTGCAAACCCTAACACCATAAAGTTGCTAGACCCTTGTGAAAATGCAGGATGCAAAGTCAGCATTATTCATTACTACTTCAATACTTCTCTGAAGCTTTTAGCAGGTCTATCAGAAAAATATTGGTTTCAGCAGTTCAGACAAATAGCAGCAGAAGTATTTCAAACAGCCACTTAGCTCATTATATTAAAACTGTGAGCAGGCACTCAAAGTCAGGGAATGTCATCATTAAGACTGATAATATAACCTACAGTTCCTTTATAAATTTACCTTTTGCTGTATCATAGATCCCAAAGTAAGCCGCTCTATAGATGATGATACCCTGTACTGAGACATTGAACCCTTGATATAAGCCACGCAGACCATCAGACTTGGTGATTTTGACTAGACAGTCTCCAAGGCCAGCAAATTCTCTGTCGGCACCAGCTTTTCCAACATCAGCAGCTAAACGGGTTCTTGCAAAATCCAATGGGTAGACAAA